CATGTAATATCATATTTTGTAAGCACTCTATTTGGTTTACTATTGTTCTTATAGATGTATATAATATGTCCATGATATGTGATTTTTTCATTATGTTTGTTTATCTTGTATAATGACTTGAAGGTTGTTTTCTCCAATTGGGACTTATGTGTTCTATGTACACTTAATGAGGTGAGCGGCTGGCTGATAAAGCTCACATTCAGCCGCTCACCGTTCTTTCCCATGTGGGCAGTGACCGGCTACAACTACATCTTCCGAGAGCCTTTGCTCTCGGCACGCCGGTCACGTGCCCGTGGGTTGCTTTCCCCTCCTACTGAGCGACCGGCTACTTGCCGCTCATGTTCTGATCACGTGACGATTCTCCGATCACGTGACGCTTTTTATTAATAAATATCTAATTAAATAATGCTCGTTTTTCAAATTATAATACATACTGAGCAATATACTTACCTCCTTTACATCCTAACCAATTTTCATACAAATTTGTAATTGCACAAAGATTTATGCTATTCTCTGCCTGTAATTGGTGCATTTTTTAGGCGCCAATTTCAAAATCTCTGTTTAAAGCTATATAAACTGTTCACTGCCAGGTTACTGTCCTTTAGCCATTTTTGATAAAGCCCATGAGGCGAAACACGTTAAATGGTTTTTTACTGTGTATTTTAACAATAAAAACTTTTATTTGGTACCCTTACTTATAGGACCAATTCTGTTTTATTGTATAGACATATTTTAAAATTATTATTTTTTTCCTGGCATCTAACTGTTCCTGTTTAAAGCAATCCACAGGTGGGGATTATTCCACTGGCGCATTATAAATAGAGCAGTATTTCCTGCTCCACAATTGTAAGTATAACTTATTTTAATTTATTTTATGCTTACCTTTCCTACTGAGAGCACTATATCTGTTTTTATATACCGTGGGAATTCTACGCCACACAAGTTGGACGGAGTGACCTATCCTGAAAGAATATCCATTAGCGGGGATTATACCGCTAAGTGCTTTACAACTAAGAGCTGGTCCATAGCTCCAACCAATGTGAGTGCATTTTCCTCCATTTTATCTTACTTCGCTAATTCTCACAGTACATACTATACCATTGGAAGCCTATTGTGTTTTTATTTTTCATATACGGATTCCCTGAAAACTTGGAAGGATTTATCTCTGAGGACTGTCCAAACACAGCCTGTTCTACTACCAGTGAGACATCTTTTATGCTTGCTATTGGACTTTTTCTATATTCTATTTTTTAGTGTACAGACTCTGTTGTAATTCTTTTATTAGATTGTCTATCTTTTATTATTTTTTTTACTTTTTCAGTGCAGCCCTTCACCCCCTTTTTTGTCCTTTTATACTATTTTAGGGTTTTTGAGTGATCCCCTTTTTTAGGGTTGCAGCTTTTATCCTTTGCTTTTTAGCGCAGACTTCCCCTCCTCCATTTCTCTTACGTATAAAATTAGGCACCTAGCCATGCAGTCAACATTTAAAAACATTTGGGAAAAATATGTGTTCTGTCGAGTAACATATCACACTTCTCTGCTTAGCGGTCTGATGAGCAAGTCTTGGTTTGGTAGATGCCTGGAGAACGTTACCTACCTGACTGCATAGTGCCAACTGTGAAGTTTTTTGGAGGAAGGATAATGGTATGGGGCTGTTTTTCAAGGGTTAGGACCCTTACTTCTAGTGAAGGGAAATCTTAATGCTTAAACATACCAAGACATTTTGAATAATGCTATGCTTCCAACTTTGTAGAAACAGTTGTGGAGAGGCCTTTTTCTATTCCAGCATGACTGTGCCCATTTGCACAAAGCAAGGTTCATAATGACATTGTTGGATGAGTTGGGAGTGGAAGAACTTGACTAGCCTGCACAGAGCCCTGATCTCAGCTCCACTGAACACCTTTGGAATGAACTGACATGGAGATTGTGAGCCAGGCCATCTCCTCCAACATCAATGTCTGACTTGAAAAATGCTCTACCTATGAATGGGCAAAAATTTCATCATAAACACTCCAAACTCTTGTGGAAAGCCATTCCAGAAGATTGGAAACTGTTATAGCTGCAATGGGGGATCAACTATTTGTTAATGTCTATGTATTTAGAATGCAATGTCATAAAGGTCCCTGTTTATGTAATGGTCAGGTGTCCCTAGAGAATACTGAAGGACTGTAAAGGGCAAAATTGTGATATACACCCAGGGTGGTGTGTGCTACAATAAACCTGAGATGATTACCTGGAATACCCCATAAAACATGTGATATGTTTATTGATCCCTGATACCTATAGGAATACAAGCAGGGAAACATCAAGTCTCTCCTGTATGGCAAGTACTTTGGTTCATAGAGACAAAAAAGTAGAAACATTAAAGGAACACTATAGTCACCTAAATTACTTTAGCTAAATAAAGCAGTTTTAGTGTATAGATCATTCCCCTGCAATTTCACTGCTCAATTCACTGTCATTTAGGAGTTAAATCACTTTGTTTCTGTTTATGCAGCCCTAGCCACACCTCCCCTGGCTATGATTGACAGAGCCTGCATGAAAAAAAAACTGGTTTCACTTTCAAACAGATGTAATTTACCTTAAATAATTGTATCTCAATCTCTAAATTGAACTTTAATCACATGCAGGAGGCTCTTGCAGGGTCTAGCAAGCTATTAACATAGCAGGGGATAAGAAAATCCTAATTAAACAGAACTTGCAATAAAGAAAGCCTAAATAGGGCTCTATTTACAGGAAGTGTTTATGGAAGGCTGTGCAAGTCACATGCAGGGAGGTGTGACTAGGGTTCATAAACAAAGGGATTTAACTCCTAAATGGCAGAGGATTGAGCAGTGAGGCTGCAGGGGCATGTTCTATACACCAAAACTGCTTCATTAAGCTAAAGTTGTTCAGGTGACTATAGTGTCCCTTTAAGTGATTCATTTACAACAAATGCTGTATGAAGCAATACACAATTTCTTTAACTAGACCAGGGGTAGGCAACCTACGGCACTAGTGCCATGCACGGCACTCGAGGTGTCTTTCCACGGCACTCAAGGCTGCTAGAGCCAAACAGGCTCTGGCCTATCAGGAGTCTCAGTAAAACTTCAGATATCTGCTAATATGAAAAGATGGTGAAGGACAATACTCAATTTATGCATTGCAGCATGTAGAGGAAATTATCTCAGATCACTTCCTCCCAGCACTTGTGAATTGGAATTTACAACGTAGTAGAGCAGCCTGCAGCTGCTGTTGCAGCTCCTGTCCTTGCCAGCCAGGTCCCCACTGGACCCCAGGGAAGCCACACACACTGCTAGATATACACAGATATTGTGGATCAAACCAAGTGTTTATCTGAGTATTTGCTCCTTTCCAAATTGTTAAAATAAATGCGTGCACGCTCTGAAGTAAATCACACTGAGACACAGGTATCAGGTTAATGAAAAACTTTGGACTGTTTACTCAGGGGACGGCAAGCCCCTTATAAAGGCATCATATGCAAAAATGTAGATAACAGAGAGAATACATCTTTAATTGGTTAGGTGTTAAGTGTCTTATCTAATGCACATCCTACAAGGCGTGATGTCACCATCATCCTGGGATTTTACTCCGGATGAAGGCACCATCTTGTTACACAAGGTAGTTAGTTGGTGGGAGGGGGTGCTCTAGCAGCCATTTTGAGTAGATATTGAATACAGGTATACACAGTAAATAGACATTTTACTATCACTAATTTACATTCATAACACAGAAATGAAGAATAACCCTCCGCTTATACAAATAATACGAACAGCCCACACACAAACATACACACAATCTGCACAAACGTAACTCGCTAACAATCCACATACATGCACACAATCCCACATGCAGCCTCTCACATGCAATACCCCAAACAGCCCCCACACACTACCAAACACACAATGTGACATATCCACCCACACACAATTCCACAAGCAGCCCTCATACATAGCCCACATTCATATGTATCATACACAATACCATAAACTACTAATGAACATATACAATATAATAGCTCATATAGGCACAAATACAACGATACAAAGCAACTACAGTATAAATAACACAAGCAGAATACGGCAGCATACACACCTCAATTTAAAAAAATAGGACTGGCACGCTACAGGACATCACAATCCTATATCGGCACAGTGCTGCTAAAAGGTTGCCTACCCCTGAACTAGACATTTACCATCTTGATATTCAAAACACTTTATATCACAGTTCTACACATGACCATGCTTGCGTTGCTGATGTTTAACTTCCATTTTAATAGATTCTACTGAACATTTTGGTTTTTAGTAAAACTTCCTGTGTTGCAAACATACATTTGCTATCCAGATAAAACCAGAAAGCTATACCCATATAAAAGCTTCACATGTATCATCTCCCCTTTTTTTGAATAATAACAGAGGTCTTCTGCACTATTTTGCTGTAAGGAAAGATACAGTGAGGGAAAAAAGTATTTGATCCTCTGCTAATTTTGAATGTTTGTCCATTGACAAAGAAATGATCAGTCAGGGGCAGGGCCGGACTGCCATGCTGAACGGTCACACAACAGAGCAGCTCCAGCAATCTTCTCTATTTCTAGCCCCAAAACATCGACTTAATACCTACCTGACGACTAGCAGCTGTGACCCAGTGCAAGCAGACATCCTGGTCCTGAGGAGAGGCTCTCCGTCATCCAAGATGGGGATCGCTCAGGTGGTGAGCGGGGTGGACGGCCGCTGCCCTGCTATCCTGCCTACCCGCGACATGCCAGCAGCACAAGGCTAGGTGGTCCTGACCCTGGACCGGTGGGGGTGATCCTGGTCCCCACCCTGTGGCCCCTATGCGTGCAAAGTCACCAGCACTCCAAGCTGTGGCAGGGCCGACCCAGGGCTCACAGGCAGCATCCAAAATGGCGGAGATCGCATGTCAAGCCACCTAGGTAAGAGGAAAGACCGACGATCCCCCTTCGCTTGGCTCCACACTGGCTGACTGCCAGCGCAGGCTGAATGGGAACCGGCGAATACCTGCTAAGACCCCATATTGAATACAGGGCCCGGTCCTGGGACGATCCAAGTTATGGCGGAGAAGCCAGAGGCACACCATGCCAACGCAAGCAGCATTACAAGCGACCAACGGAGGTCAGCACCTGCAATTTACTAACCAAGCATGCCCAAATATACCACCCACAGAACGAAACACCGCTCCGGCGTCCTAGCCTTACTTGCCATATATCCCAAACCACCGCGTGGGGGCCGACAAGCATAGACCGACTGCCTGCAGCTGCGGTATTACACTCGAAGGTCAGCAAGGCTATTGGGATCTGTATCCTGCCCGTGGCGGACACTCGACTGAAACGCAAGTCAAACACATGGGGACTACTAGTCTGACACTCACCTGGATTACAACAATGACAGCACTTTCCTGGATTTTGACCTTCTTTATTACCTTATCTAGGTGGGTCTCATGGTACATGGTCATTGACTGTCATCTTGCTGGCGTGGGGACCACCTGGGGTGGAAAATCCTAAAGTATATTCTCACCTGTCTACTACTGTCTGTTACTGCTGTCTTCAAGCTATCTAATAATCTAGTTTAATCAACCATCTGACTACACAGAAATATATGCATACACTCATTCATTAAGCGTCAGCTACACTTTTATTAACATAATCAGTGGAACAGACTATACAGCCTCTTATACACATGCTATGACTTGCACCACACTACTGTCTACACCTATTAAATTAAAAAATGTGTACAGTTTATCCATGCCATACAATTGTTTATATATGTTTATGGAAACCCTGGCAGTAGCTGTTGTGGCATTGTCGGCGTAAATGTAACCTGTATAACCCATGCACGACAAAATTTAAAAAAAGAAAAGAAATGATCAGTCTATAATTTTAATGGTAGGTGTATTTTAACAGTGAGAGACAGAATAACAAAAAAAATCCAGAAAAAGGCATGTCAAAAAAGTTATAAATTGATTTGCATGTCAATTAGTGAAATAAGTATTTGATCCCCTATCAATCAGCAAGATTTCTGGCTCCCAGGTGTATTTTATACAGGTAACAAACTGAGATTAGGAGCACTCTCATAAAGGGAGTGCTCCTAATCTCAGCTCATTACCTGTATAAAAGACACCTGTCCACAGAAGCAATCAATCAGATTCCAAACTCTCCCCCATGGCCAAGACCAAAGAGCTGTCCAAGGATGTCAGGGACAAGATTGTAGACCTACACAGGGCTGGAATGGGCTACAAGACCGTCGCCAAGCAGCTTGGTGAGAAGATGACAACAGTTGGTGTGATTATTCACAAATGGAAGAAACACAAAAAAACTGTCAGTCTCTCTGTCTGGTGCTCCATGCAAGATCTCACCTCGTGGAGTTTCAATGATCATGAAAACGGTAAAGAATCAGCCCAGAACTATACGGGAGGATCTTGTTAATGATCTCAAGGCAGCTGGGACCATAGTCTCCAAAAAAACAATTGATAACACACTATACTGTGAAGGACTGAAAACCTGCAGCGCCCACACGAGTTACCCTTGCTCAAGAAAGCACATGTACAGGCCCATCTAAAGTTTGCCAATGAACATCTGAATGATTCAGAGGAGGAATGCTGACTATGACCCCAAGAACACCATCACTACTGTCAAACATGGAGGTGGAAACATTATGCTTTGGGGGTGTTATTCTGTTAAGGGGACAAGACAACTGCACCGCATCAAAGGGACGATGGACGGGGCCATGTACTGTCAAATCTTGGGTGAGAACGTCCTTCCCTCAGCCAGGGCACTGAAAATAGGTCGTTGATGGGCATTCCAGCATGACAATGACACTGACACAAAACACACAGTTAAGGCAACAAAGTAGTGGCTCAAGAAGAAGCACATTAACGTACTGGAGTGGCCTAGCCAGTCTCCAGACCTTAATCCCATAGAAAAGCTGTGGAGGGAGCTGAAGGTTCGAGTAGCCAAACATCAGCCTCAAAACCTTAATGACTTGGAGAGGATTTGCAAAGAGGAGTAGGACACAATCTCTCTGAGATGTGTGCAAACACGGTGGCAAACTACAAGAAACGTCTGACCTCTGTCATTGCCAACAAGTCGAAGGGGTTAAATACTTATTTTACTCATTGACATGCAAATAAATGTAAAACTTTTTTGCCATGCGGTTTTCTGGATTTTTTTTTTTTGTTATTCTGTCTCTCACTGTAAAAATACACCTACCATTAAAATTATAGACTGATCATTTCTTTGTCAGTGGGCAAACGTTCAAAATCAGCAGAGGATCAAATACTATTTTTCCTCACTATAGATATGGTCTTGCTGAGTGCAAGCCAAACTGTTCCACAATATTCTTTTTGTCTTAGTGTGGCCATCTTCACAGTAATGTGCAGCTCATACAAATATATTATAAAGTCACACAGCAATATACACTGAATTTTAATGTATTGCATTGTTAGAGTTTTATTGAAGCTGAGCTGCATCACACACTGCATGTAACTGAGATTAATGTATCCAAAATGATCCACTTGCTTGCGTATATAAATGCATGGATTCTATTTTTTTTCTACTGTTCTTTCTGAAACTAAATAAGGCTAACTCATGAATGTATTATAGCAGAGAGGTAACAGAGAACACACACAGAAGAGAAAATAGCACAGTCAGTAAAAAAGGGGGATAAAACATTTTTTAGATACATAAATGAGAAAAGAAAAGTAAAACAAGGATTAGTTAGATTAAAAACAAAAGAAGGAAGGTATGTAGAAGAGGATAAAGACCAGGCTGACTGCCTCAATTAATATTTTTGTTCTGTATTTACAGAAGAAAATGAAGGAAAGGGACCTCAGTTGAGAAAAAGGATAAATGAGTCATTTATTACACGTGAGTTTACAGAGGAAGAGGTTCTATTTCAACTGTCAAAAGTAAAGACAAATAAGTCAATGGGACCTGATGGAATACACCCAAAGCTATTAAAAGAGCTTAGTGGTGTACTAGCAAAACCATTAACAGATTTATTTAACCAATCATTGTTAACAGGAGTAGTCCCAGAAGATTGGAAGTTAGCGAATGTTGTGCCCATTTACAAGAAAGGTAATAGGGAGGAGTCGGGCAACTATAGGCCAGTAAGCCTTACTTCAGTAGTGGGGAAAGTGATGGAAACCATGTTAAAGGATAGGATTGATGAACATCTAAAAACACATGGATTTCAAGATCAGAGACAACATGGGTTTACTTCAGGGAGATCATGCCAAACTAATCTTATTGATTTTTTTGATTGGGTAACTAAAATTATAGATCAGGGTGGTGCAGTAGACATTGTTTACCTAGATTTCAGTAAGGCTTTTGACACTGTTGCACATAGAAGGCTTATCAATAAACTGCAATCTTTAAGTTTGGATTCAAATATTGTTGAATGGGTAAGGCAGTGGCTGAGTGACAGGCAACAGAGGGTTGTAGTTAATGGAATATATTCGAAGCTTGGACTTGTCACCAGTGGGGTACCTCAGGGATCTGTACTTGGACCCATTCTCTTTAATATTTTTATTAGTGATATTGCAGAAGGTCTTGATGGTAAGGTATGTCTTTTTGCTGATGATACTAAGATATGTAACAGGGTTGATGTTCCAGGAGGGATAAGCCAAATGACAAATGATTTAGGTAAACTAGAAAAATGGTCAGAATTGTGGCAACTGACATTTAATGTGGATAAGTGCAAGATAATGCATCTTGGACGAAAAAACCCAAGGGCAGAGTACAGAATATTTGATAGAGTCCTAACCTCAACATTGAGGAAAGGGATTTAGGGGTGATTATTTCTGATGACTTAAAGGTAGGCAGACAATGTAATAGAGCAGCAGGAAATGCTAGCAGAATGCTTGGTTGTATAGGAGAGGTATTAGCAGTAGAAAGAGGGAAGTGCTCATGCCATTGTACAGAACACTGGTGAGACCTCACTTGGAGTATTGTACACAGTACTGGAGACCGTATCTTCAGAAGGATATTGATACCTTAGAGAGGGTTCAGAGAAGGGCTACTAAACTGGTTCATGGATTGCGGGATAAAACTTACCAGGAAAGGTTAAAGGATCTTAACATGTATAGCTTGGAGGAAAGACGAGACAGGGGGGATATGATAGAAACATTTAAATATATAAAAGGGAATCAACACAGTAAAGGAGGAGACTATATTTAAAAGAAGAAAAACTACCACAACAAGAGGACATAGTCTTAAATTAGAGGGACAAAGGTTTAAAAATAATATCAGGAAGTATTACTTTACTGAGAGGGTAGTGGATGCATGGAATAGCCTTCCAGCTGAAGTGGTAGAGGTTAACACAGTAAAGGAGTTTAAGCATGCGTGGGATAGGCATAAGGCTATCCTAACTATAAGATAAGGCTAGGGACTAATGAAAGTTTTTAGAAAATTGGGCAGACTAGATGGGCCGAATGGTTCTTATCTGCCGTCACATTCTATGTTTCTATGTTTCTATATACAGCAAAAGAAGAGCTATTAAGATCCTACCACTTAAAGGGATGTCTGTGATTGGACAGACATAGAAACTCTGGGTGGTGTTGGAAGAGGAGGGTTTACAAAGACAGCAGGCAAGAGATCTGCATGTTTGTTTGTTTTTTAACTCCAATGAAAGAATGAATAATTAAATGCATGTATGTTTTCATTTGTGGTATATTTACAAAACAGTGATTTTTATTTATTTTGTATTTGGGCAGTGGTGTTTTCCATTAATATTATTGTTATTATATGTGTCAGTTTATCTGTCTGTCCAACCACTGTTTAGAAACATCTCTTTACCTTTTTACCCTTTTTATTTGAGTTTGTATCACTGGGTGGCTTGTATTTGCCTCCCAAATATTCTCACAATGGAGGAAGCCTGGATACACTATTTATGTTAGTGTAATTAACATTTTCATTAGTTTTTGCATACTAGTACAAAGGAAGCACCCAAATAGTCAGGTCAGCATTTAAGCGGGTGAAGAGCGAACCCTAGCATCGAGTCAACATGAACAGAGTGAAACAGGCCAAGCAAGTTCCCAAGTGTAGTTCAACAGTATAGTGGCCACGAATAAGGATAGACCGGTGTAAAGAAAAGTAATATTTACGTGTTTTAAATGTTGCACAAGAGTTTTGAATGAAGCTACAATAATGCAAAGTATGTCATCTCTATTTTAAAATGGGCTTCAAGACAGAAAAGGAACAATTTAACAGATGTAGTGTGAATCCAATTTCAAAGTCGTAAAAGGGTACAGAAGTAACTTGTGCTAATTAAGCACTTAATAGCGCCTCATAGAGTCACTGGGAAATTAGCATTTCTTTTTCTTACAATAGTATGCATACTACAACTATTTAAAAGTAATGTGCATT